CGAAAAAAGAACCATTAAATCAGTAAAACTGTGTGCGATGGATACAGGTAAATACACTCGGTAGACTTCTGATAAAGAAAAAAATCATCAGTCGATTAGATAAACGGAAGTCTGTCATGAATATTCATTTCATTTCTGTCTCGATTCTTTGAAATTAATACTCTAGTTATGCATCCGTTATATTTATGACGTTTAGAAAACTCGAAGACTGTTTAAAAGTCATCACAATAAGTTACTCACTAGAAGGCAATAAACTGAATAAAAATTTCTTACAACATTTCAATGACAATACTTTCAAACTTGATTGGATGTTGTGAATGCAAAATGCATCGTTTGTTTGTTAAAGGCCTTTTTTGTTACTTATGCAGCATAAAAAGGCTTTACTTGCTTTTCTTTTTTCTCCCTCGTTGTTTTAAACTTCTGTTAACGAAGCGCTCTCTTGAGTAGCATTGCTCATGGAAACAGTACAATACATAACACGGAGAGCAGACAAAAAATGACGATAAACAAAGAAAAAAAAAACATATTTGTAAAAGAGAATGCATTTAAAATGGAGTACACACATCGATACACATTTGTGTAGGATGGAAAGTAGCTGACATTGTTTAAAAAACACGCAATGATAGGCTTGCTGTAATACCAATTAAAGAAATAAAACTTGAATAAGTATGAATTTGAGACAATTTTTCTGTGAGATGATATGAAAAATGATATTTTTCAATACACTCATGATTCGCTGAATTGCATTACAATTTCAGAAAATTTGACATATTCATCTTATTTCTCCAATACACGAAAGACAGAAACTGGAAAAATTTTTGCTTGGTATATATTTGAACAGGAATTTCGAAAAGTCATTTATATCACGAAAAGCGTATTTTTAAAAAAAATCGATTTAATTATTATGCTACGTAATGAATGGGACAACAATCTATATTTCAACATAGTCCAATCTGAATAAAAAAACTGAAACTGAAGGCATGCTATTCTGAATTCTAGTAAGTTTAACTCAAATCTTATTGAATGCGCTTTGTCCACTGCTGAAGAATAAGGCAAGTTTTCTTAAATACGAATAGCAATATAGATGTATCCTAGAATTTTCTTTTGATGACATCTCAAGATCAAAAGAAAGCTAATTTGAATGAAATCGAGATTGAAGTGAAGCATAAACAATTTTTCCAAACATCAAACAGGCAGACATAACCACATATACAAATCGAATAAAACTTTATTTGCTTAGACCTAAAACTTCTCATCATTGATTTTTGCCATTGTGTATCATTATCAAGTGCAGCTTTTCTCTCCTACGATTATCATATATTATTTCGTACTTGATTTTTAAATTAATTAATCTGTAAGATAATACATATAAATGATTATTTTCATTAGGATATATAAGTTCAGGTTGATTTTTTCATTCAAGTTTTAAAAACTAAAATAATATTTCACAGCACTTTGAATTAATTCAATATTTTCTAGGACAATAAATATTTTCATTTTAAGTTCAACATAATTTTTTTTTTAAATTTATATACCGGGTGTGGGTGTGAGTGGCGTAAGTATGAGTGTGGGCGTTCTCTTTAATCATATCCACCCATACCCTAGTTTCTTCTACATTATTTCCTTGCTTTGTTTCAATGTAGAAGCATACATACAAAAAAGATAAAGAGTAATGTTATTTACAAAAGCGTATTATTCAGATCGACAAAACTGAACGGAACAAGTTTGCATATCTTAAAAGATAGTTTGTCTTAAGTTGGAAATAGTCTAAAAAAATCTTCTAAAACAGTTTCTTCATCATCAAGCAGTAAAAGATGAAAGCTATACAGCTAGAAAACAATTTTGGAAAACTATCTTTCTACTCATATCCTTATCCTTTTCAGCTGAAACATTCAAAGAATCAAAAACACTGTTTGAGATCTCTTACTTTGAAAAATTCATAACTCCTTCTCGAAACAATGTGTGCCCAAATCAACTTAGCATATTTTACTTCTAGCTATACTGCATCTAACCATTACATCTTTACCCGAAAAATTTTTTGATACCCCGAGTGGTTTCCTCGTTCGGTTTTTAGGTTGAAGTAGAAAAAGAAAAGAATTTTCGAAGAGTTAAGAAAAAAATAGAATTCAAACTTACGAACTATTTTGAGAAAAAAAGTAATATTGATTATATGTATGATTTGATCGATATTTGATACTTTTTTTAAAGAAAGGGTAGCTCATACGAAAAAAGACGTAGGTATTCGTAATAAACTCCTTATGTTCTATCAAACCATAAATAAGTCAATGAACAATCAGATCTACTCCGATTTTTAGCATTCAATCACACTTCTTCTTCTCAATACAGAACAAAAGAAAACCATCAATTATAGTCTAAAATAGACGATATCAAAGACAAACATGTGACGTCAATAACGTTTCAAGCTATGACTTTTTAATATTCTTCATTTATAAAATTATGTTCATGATAGATAGAAAGACAGAAGGAGTGGTATATTATTATGAAATTTAAATTGGTGATATTGAACATAGTATTGTTCGTGTTTCTTCTTTCGAACTCTGACGCAAAGCGTCGAGGAGGAGAAGGATTCCGAATAGATATGAACACATTTGAATGGTAAAAACAAATTGAACAGTTTATTTATTGAAAATATAGGATCTTATTATAATCGTTCTTCTAGAGATTCAATCGTCGGAGAGTGAAGGCGTGGCAGTAGGATTCCTTTTGATGCTGCTCGGTTGTGGAGCTGGGATAGAGGGAAGAATTTATCGATGCTATAGGAATGAAAAAAATCGTACACGTACAGAAGAACAAGAACAGCGAATTCGTGCAAATTTATCAGAAATATCTTATTTGCAACAGTTTCATGAGAGAAATATAAGAATAAAATAAGATTCTATTTTATTTTATTTTACAAAAATATGATATTTCTAAAATATTCGTCACATTTGTATTTATTTAAAACTATCGTTTTTTTTTATTTAGTTACCAAATACTACTAGATATACAGTAGTGCATCTGAATCCTGTCAAGAAGTATCTGAAAAAAAGGCCGAAAAAAAATAAAACTGATCACGCTGAAGTGCAATCGTTAAATGAGTTACAACAATTATAAAGTGTAGAAGAAAAATGTTCAATGATGGTGTTTCAAAGATAATGACGCGTCCCCATCTCGCACAAATTGATATATTGAATTACAATAAATATAATTCTTTACATCATGGCAAATAAATTTCTTTTAAAAGTATGATTAATAAAAATACGAGCTCATTCATTCTTTATATAAAACATCTCACCTGATGTATGATGAACTTGTATACTTTTACCAATGAGAAGCGTTCAGTAATTCCATTCGTTTCAAATTTTTCACTACCTAGTTAATCAATAGTCGGAAGATGATTTAAGGGTGTGAATATCTCTGACGGGAAGATCTACAGACAGCTTGATTCTAGGATTAGTTTTGTTGTTATCATATTTTTATGATTATCTTCATCTTCATTTATTATCTGGTTATTTATTAATCACAAAAAAAAGCTTTTTAGATTTTCAGATTTGAGATTTTTGTATATAAATAAAGTACTCAATACAGCTAGATAAAGAGAGTTAACTATCAATTAAAAGCAGTATTCTATTTTTACTTCACGAATAGGAATTGACAGTAAACCATCTCTTTCATAGAAAAACTTTTATTGTTGTTATCCTGAATGAACAGATCAATCAATAAGAATGATGGTAAACTGTACACGTCAGTAATCAGGATAGATTCTATAAGCATAGTTTTTCAAATTTACTATCGATATATGCCACGAGCATATTATTTTTAGTTTATTTTATATGCATCTGTTCGGTGACAAATGTATCTGTACTCCGAAGTACTGAAGTCATAATTTCCTTCGTTGATTGATGCATACTGTGTTACAAGATCTTCGAAATAGTATGGCAGATACCATTCGACACATAACATTTAAAAATGATTAGTACATAAAAACTAGTGAGAACTGGAGTAGTACAAAAAAATAAATACCAATAGATCACTTTAAATAGAATTATTTTGAAATGTTTAACGTAACTTTACTGGAAAATTTGAATGCATTCAAAAATATTGAACTTTTGTCAGTCAAAGTTTCTTTGAAGAATATATTTGCAAATATATATTCAATATGACAATTGAGTTACAACTTTATACACTATCTCCAGTACCAAACAAAAACTCTTTCAACTATAAACACACAAAGCAATAAAGAATTTATTCAATATTAATACTTGCATGATTAAGTTTTGACTTATATATTTATCTCATTTTACCAAACAAAATTTATTTTTGCATATAATCACTCGCAATAAATTACTTGAAAGAAAAAGAAAATTCTACTTAGTATTTCATATAACCTATTCTATACTTAAGTGTCTTTACCTAGGCTTTTTGTGCAAATAATCATTCAATTTCAAGATAGAGATGATCGTAGGAATATCGAAACTAAGAATTTTAGACTAGAGTGCCGTCAATATTCAACTTACTCGTTAGATCGATGAAAAATAGAGAATCGTGATCTGATGAATTTATTACAATCTATTCTTATTATTTTTGGATGAGAAGACATTAGTGATCATAACCATAAAAATAACTACATTCATATAAACATGATTCTGCATATACACAATTATGCAACAATATACATTTTTTTATTTCTACAAAATCTAACAAAAAAACTCACCAGGTGAGAATAAATGAAAAAAGTAATACTTTATACATATCACATAAAAGAAAATATCAATAAACAATTATATCAACAACAAAAAAAACTAGAAATCCATGTAACTTGAGTGTCTCAAGGTTACATGTAAAATGTTCGTTTGTAAAGATAAAAATCAAATTATGAAACATATTTATATCTATTTATTGATGTGTACACTTTAGTTAACAATCTAAAAAGAAACAAGATAAATGAAAATAGTATTTGTAAAAACAGGAGAAAAAAAAACCAACTACTAACTTTTTCTTTACTGATTCAAACATATCGTCTCAGGTGGTAATAAAGCTTGCTCAATAGAATTTAATTTATACCATAGATAAATATGAACAAGTAGAAAACAAATAATAATAACAAGACCAATATTGTATAGTCTACATTCACCAGTAATTGTCTTTTCTTGAATAGATAATTTAAATGGAGATAAACTCGTTGTATTGATTGATGAATTTTCATCGGTTTGTTTTTGAGATGTAATATTATCAATTGATATTTTTGAGTCTGTTTGAGATGATGACATTAATTTCTGCTTAGATTTTTTATCAATGTTTGTTATTTGATGATTTTCAAGTCTTCGAACTGAAATAGAAAACATTATCTTCATCATATACAAATTATGTAGATTTTATTTTTTTTACCTTGTTCATTAACGGCTCCTTGTATAGATGAGTTTACATTTTTTTCAATAAATGCTAGAAAAAAAAAATTCGATAATGAAAATAAAAAATATTTGATTTTTCTTTTACTTTTAATAAAACCATTGACATTTTTAATGTATCGTGTTTCAGCAGTAACTTGTAATGAACTATGTTCAGCATCATATTGTATCATACAGAATCGTGTTGTAACATAAAATGCATCTGTATATCTCATTCCTTCATTGTATATTTCTGTATTTAGAATGTACATTAAATGTGGTTTTTCTACTTCTAATATCTATGCAAAAATTGTGAGGAAAAAAAAAGAATTTTTAAAAATTAAATTCAAATATATATATACTTGTTTTTCTCGACAGAAGAGTGTATTCGTACCGAGAGCAGATTGATTAACTGTTTTATATGTTACTTGACGTTCTCGTTTACCAGTGTCAATATTTAAAATCCATTCACCATAAGTATAATCTAAGAAAAATATCATAGGAATATTATTAGATATATATATATATGAACAGCAAAATTTACCAAGTAATTTATGTGCATTATGAAAAGCACGTGTAAATGAATTATCACCAAATAATAATTCAAAAAGTGTATCAACATTAAAACTAAATAATCGATCTGCATATGTTTTTGCTAGATGACTTTCACATGTACATGTACGTAAATAAGTTATATTTTCATCATCTAAATAGAATAAAAAAATTAAATTCTTTCTTTTTTCATGCAACTAAAGGTTTTACCAGCACATTGAGATGATTCTACTAGTCTTAGTGGATGTTCTATTGATTGTGTTGATGATTCTGTTAAACCATTCAATCTTGTAGAATGTAACTGCAAAAAATCAATAGACTGTTAGTTAAAAGAAACTTGAACAAAACATTCTATAAGTTATAATTATCAAGAAAAAGTTTTTAAATTTCAATGTAGCAACATGATACAAATTATACTATGTAGAATGAGTTTTTCCTTTTTTGATGAACGAAAAGTATTGATCTTATTTTTTTAAAGTCTAAAAAAATTGTTCTTTAACTAATATCACAATAATAAAATTTCGATATAGTAGCTATGACATTTGAAGATTATATTTGATTACATTTTCATTTTTGATCTATAGTTATTTCTTGATATTTTCTAATACCTAGCCGTCTATACATATTAAGGTATATAAAAATTATTAGTGTATAAAATAATCCTGTAGAATTTTAATATTCTCCAGTTATTTTCCTCTCACATAATAGTATTTCATACATAAAATTGAATAATTGAAGAAGATTAGCTATGAATTTAATTTACTAGGATAGTAGTATTTGGTTTATATATGTTACGAAAAAAAATTACTCAATTGGTTACTTAATTCATGAAGTAGGACAGTATATTTTTAAAAAATTTACGGAAATAATGTATGAAGAATATTTTGATGTTAGTTTTCTATGAATTATTTACTCAAGTAAATTTTTACCTTATGAACATATTCATCATTATTTTCTAAAGTATTATATTCTTCATTGTCACCACTTGATTCATCATGACTATATTGATCAGCCGAAACAAATGCTCGTAATTGTTGATAACCTAATGGCTGTAAACCAAAAGAAAAAAACAAAAAATTAACATAGTCATATTTTTTTTTCTTAATAATAATAATAAAATATTACTTGATCAAGTAAAGAATTTTGCCATAAACGAAATATACTATTAAAAATTTTTTCTCTTGGTATATAACTAGCAAATAAATATTCATCTTGATTTTTTGTTCGTAATTTAATTGCATTTGGAATTACTTTAGCAGATTTTTCTCTTGTAATACTGATAATATCTTTATAAGGAATACGTAACTAAATAAATTAAAGTTTCGATTAATATAAATGAAAAAAAAAAAAAAGAAAACTTAATCACTTACACGTTGATCCCACTTGAAAAAACATGTATAAAAAAATACATAATTCATTGAAAGAAATATTCGACCATGCATGAATACATCTTTTCTCCAAGCACATGGATAACCTATAAATCATGATAAATAATTAAGATAATGAAACTTATATTACCTACCGATAATTAACTGTTCATCTGATGATAAATCATTGAATATAACATTAAAATCTTTATTACGAATTTGAAAACTCTACATAAAAAAAAAAATTTTTATAATATTTAGCATTTGATGTTATCTATTTGATTAATAAGTGATGAGAAAACAACTATCTTCCCCCCTCTCGCCTATGGTTTATGTCAAATCCAATATTTCATTTTTCTTAGATAAAAATTATACCGTATGTCGTAACGGTGATCGTTGTTTTTTTGCATTGGATTTATTAATAGCGATTTCAGTAACAGGACTATTTCCTTTGTTTGATTTCGTTAGTTTTTTATTTTTATTGCGTTTTCTAGAATTTCTTTGCTGTTGGACATTCTCTTCGATATCTTCATCATTATGGATGTCATTAGGAACAACTGCATCTTGTTCATTGTTTTCAATAGTGACAACTACGAAAAAAAGACAAAACATAGACAAATTTTATTTCTTAAATATTGATAACATACTATGGTCATCATTATGTATGATACCATTGTTATCAAATAAGGATTCTGTTGAATTTTTCATTGATTGAGAATGAATTGTTGTTAAAAGTTGTTTGTGTTGAAATTCATAATGATCTTGTTCTGATTGTTTATTATTATTATTATTATTATTATTTATATTTCCATTGATGTTTTCATGTAATGTATCATCAGATAAATACAATGTATCCTGTTTTGGTGATCGTTTTTGTTTAACTTTTGTTATTAAATGATCAATAACAAAAGTTGATTTTCGATTTAAATGTCCATGATGAGATTCATGACGATGCATAAATTTCTCTTCTACCATTGTTTTTTCTTGATTATGATCATGACGCAGCATTTATTTTAATTTCTATATATGTATATAAGGTGAATAGAAATAATACAAATGAATAGGTTAATTTATATTGTCTTTAGTTTTAACTTGAGTAATTACATCGAATATGAAACAAATGACTATATATATATGCGCATATGTGTGTGCACTTTTCTTTTGCTGTGGTAAGCGACACATATTTACACTTGTTCTGATAGTGTATACTACAACGTGCCCTAAAAGTACGGTACGTCACGAAAAGTAATGACTCAAGTACGCACTCAGAGAATAGAAAAGTTCGAACTAATTAGAACGACAAAATTTATACTTGACGATACTTTTTTTTCTTTTGTCAACTGCACTTTAGTGACATCTCTTAATAATTCTATAAAGAAATTTTTACATCGTAATAGCACACGTGTTATGAAAGAGAGGTGTGGGGGTGCTCTTCAATCATACCCACATCCTCTCTTTGATATAAAAGCTTGACTTATATACATAATACTGGATAAAATTTCAAGTTTTTCATGCATCGAGAATAATATAACGTATGGCTATTCGTATTGAAAATCTTTTCGCAAACGACGTCGACTAAAGATCGTATATTTCTGCGTTTGTTCATTGTGAATGATTTTGATAGTAATCAAAATAATTCTGCTACAGTCATCCTAGTATCAAGCTTTTCATTTTGAAGCACTCGTGAATCCTTTTTTGCTGATCTCCAATAATGGATTTATGCTTTTTTATCTCCAATCAAAATAAAAGAAGGAATGATGTACATACATTTAAACTCAACAAAATTAAAAGAAATTGAAAAATAGCAGTTATACTCATTCTCTTGGAACTGAAGTCTGTGTTGAAGAAGAAAATTGACAAGAAAGCTTTATATATCAGCTCAGCCTTGACAATAATATCCAGATTTAATTTATTCTATTGGAAAGTTCATTTGAATTATTACTATAATTTACATAGTCTCTGTGTGACACTTCAACTATATCTTCAAAAGGACGATGAGTAAATGAACAGTCTCTTTGATTCAAACTTGTATTCCTCCACATAATCACGTCCGATAAATGATTGATTGACAACAATAGTAAACACAAAACTATAATGACGTGACGTTTTCTTTTCTATGATTCATCATTTGTAAGTTTCATATGTGGCAGTTCTTCTTTTCTGTTATGTCATCATCGGTAATCAAATACTGAAATGCGTGTGTTTCACACAATAACATGTGGAAGAACTATGCAGTTTGTTGTTTTTCCTTTCAACCTTGAGACGATACACATGTTTTAAGTGCAAAGTTCATTTGTATGCCATAAAAATGATGCAAGACTTATTCATTGTCTTATTCATGTAGGTTGTCGTACATATAGTATTCTTTTTGTTGAAAAGTAGGTTGAAATCGAATCATCTAGTATATATATATACGTAATCTTGTTCGATTTCATTCATTCTAACAAAATACAATGACTGCAACACAAAATGAAATTCAAGTTTTAATTGAATGTTGCATATGTTGTGACTATTTAACTGATGTTCGTGAAACTCCTTGTTGTCATCAACTCTTCTGTCTTTCTTGCATTCAATCATGGCTTAGACAATCTGTTCAAAGTTGTCCTCGATGTCGTTCATCGACATTGAATGAACAGACATTAACAAAAAACGTTGTTATTCAACGTTTTGTCGACAATCTTCAATTCGATTGTCCACATAAATTACAAGGTTGTCCAGCTAAAATACCTCGAAGTGAATTAAATGAACACAAAAGATCGTGTACGTATTCACCGGATAATTTAACGCATCAGCGACAACAGAAATTATCACAATTACGACTTAAATTACAACAATACAATAGTTCAAAGAAGAGTACAAACGATAATACATTATACGATTTAGCCAAAGCATTTTATGATGAACATGTATATGATGAAGCACGACAATGTTTAAAAATGATTAAGAATGCACAAAATATAGTCGATATAATTATTCTCAATGCACAGATCGAACAAGACGATGGTCAATATGATAAAGCGTTAGAATTTTATACAAATGCTTATTCAAAAGCGAAGTCAACATCTCAACGTATCGAACTACTTTTAGCTACAGGACATATTTATCTAAAAAAGGCAAAGTATACAGAAGCTAAGGATGCATTTATTCGAGCACTTGATCTTCTACCAAATAATGATCAATCACAAAAGAAAGCTGAAATTTTTAATGGGATAGGGCTTGTTGCTAAGAAATGTTCCGATGTATGTTCATTATATTTTTGTTGGGTTTTTGTTCAATATTTTATTTTGAATTTAAGTATGATCAAGCTATTGCGACCTATAATAAAGCACTTGAAATAGTCGATACAAATTCAAGTCTTGCGTCAGAAATTGCTGCTAATCTAGCGGGTAATATTACATTCTATATATGTTTAATATTAGAATCATTGATAAGATTTTTTTTTGTTCGGTTTAAAATTTAGATATTTATCGAAAAAAAGGCAACTATAATGAATCTCATGAACTCTATTTAAAAGCACTTAAACAACTGGAATCAGTACATGGTCAAAATCATCCATCAGTTGCCGATGTTATGAATAATTTGGGCATCCTTTTGAAGAAAGAAGGCAAGTATATTGAAGCATTAGACTATCTTAAACAGGCTTTAAGAATATCCAAACATTATTATGGTAATAAACATGCATCTATTGGAATGTATTTGGAAAATATTGGTGATATTTATCGAAAGGTAACTATTGAGAAAATATGATTAGACTAACTTCATTAATCGGATAATGGATTTTTCAAAAGAAAAAAAAAGAACTTCTAGAAGACTTTAGAATAGCTAGATATTCACTATCAGTTGGTTTTGGGTTTACTGTTTTCTCTGCATTGGTTTTAATTCCTCTTGTTCCGTATAGTTTTTCTATAGTTAATAATACGAAATTTTTGCTCTAATTATCTTTAATTTTCATAAATTAACGATGATAGAAGATGCAAGGTACACGCATTATAAACAAGAGTTCTTAATAAATGGAAGATGAGAATGTTCATCTATGAGAGAGATAACATCAATGATTCTATACCTATGTCTATTCTGGCATTCTACATATTCAATAAATTTGAAAGTTTTGATGTTAATATCTATACAATATCATGAATTCCTGTTCTCAAACACAATATGAATGCCACAGTACCTAATTCCTAGGATCTATCTACTATCAACAAAATTCAAAAATGTAAAATTCATTACAATATAGAATTATATTCAGTTATTTATTATTGTGATGAATGTCTCTTTAGTTACATCGTTCCATCGAAGAATTATAAATAGTTGTAATTCTGATTAGCCAGAGCATGCGAATAAATCATGTTAAACTTCTTCTAGCCTCATCAAATCAACCTTACGAGCTAAATATGAGTTCGATCAATGTAAGACGTTTGTGGTTGTTTAATTTACATTGGTCCAATTGAATGAATCAACTTTGATTTCTTATAAAATTTTAAAGATTTCATTGAAATACGTAAAAGACTAGGTTTCAATTAGAGTGTGATTTTTGCAAAAAAATTTCATTCATTCATATATTATTAAATGTTCATAATTATTATTATGTATCAAATATTTTCATGTTAGAAAACAGAATTTGTATTTTATTTCTTGCTTAAACCTCATTTTCGAGAGAATATATGAAATTTTTTTGCACAAAGGTTGAGATTATAACTAATGCATTTGAATACCGAGAGTTATCTCGTCCGTTTTAACTAACATTTGAAATATCCTTTTGATCTAAACCAGATATAGACAATAAGTTGAATTTGTCAATGGCGTTCCTGACACCCTTTTAATTAACTTTAAGCTGTTATTGAATTACGAGATATTTAACTAGAACATGAATCAATAAACAGTTTGTTTGATTATCACTGAAGAAATTTCATCTGTGCAGTAAATTTGTTTTTATAGCGAGGTGATTACAAAACAGCCGAAGCAACATATAAAGAAGCATTGGCAGCATTGGAAGAATCCTTAGGACCAAATCATATTGAAGTAGCCGAAGTACTTAATTCCATGGGTCTCGTATTAAAGAAGAGAGCCGACTACGAAGGAGCCGAAGTGCTCTATACAAGAGCAATTAAAATTGTACACGATACATTTGGTCGCGATCAAGAACATTATAAATTGGGTATCTATTACAATAATCTAGCAGATCTTGATCGAAAAAGAAATAATTTTGAAAATGCTCTGCATCTCTATCAACGAGCTTTGACAGCCATCGAAAAAACACTTGGTTCTGAACATTCAGAAGCAGCTGAAATTCTACACAATATTGGACAAGTTCAACATCAACTCGGTTAGTTAAGAGAGAAAGAAAAACAAAACAATAATATTTGAGACTTACATATTATTCTGTTTTCTTGTTAGGTAACTTTGAACAAGCTATCATTCATATTGATCGAGCACTTGCTATTATTAAAAAAGAATTCAATGATCGACATCATAAATATGGAATTTTTCTTAATTCTCTTGGTCTTGCTTATGCAATGATGAATGATTACAATACAGCTTATGTACATGTCAAACAGGCTCTACAAATTTTGTTGACTACATTAGGTATTGATCATATTGAAGTTTGTGATGTCTATTCAAATTTGGGTGATATTTGTATGAAAATAGTAGCCGAAATGGATAGTAACTCAAAAGAAGGTCAAAAAAGTCAAGAATCAACTGAAAAACAAGTGAAACTGGACGAAGCAAGAAAATATTATTCGGAAGCTCAACGTATTGTTCAAAAAACTTTTGGTGCTGAGCACACAAAAACGAAACAATGTCTTTCCCTTTTATTTATTGTTGATAATTATCAAGCTTTGTAATTTAAAGTAAAATTCATCAAATATCGATACAGTTGAGTCTAGCCTAAAAAAGTATTAAAACTATCATTAAGATTGATATTCAAGACTTCTCACATGTATGATAGCTGCTACGGTATGGTATTTAGTTCTTGTAAAATTTGTGAAGTTTCTTCTAAAAACACC